GCCGGGCTGGCGGCCCCGACAAGGTCGGCCTCGCCCTTCTGGTCCGCCCCCCCTCCCGGCCCCGCGCCCCCGCCTCCCCGCCCCTCCTCAGCGGGTGCGTCCTGAGGCGGCTCCGCGCCCTGATCTGGGAGGGGTCTCCCGCCCCCACTCTCCGCGCCAGCGGGGTGCCCCCCCGCGGCCCCGCCCGCCCCCCCGCCGGCGACGGGCCCCGCGGTCTTCCGAAGCGGCGGGGGGGGGAGGCGTCCCGTTCGGAGGTTTTGCTCATCCCGGTGCGCCCTGAGGTGCTGGGGGACTGGGCCCTGGACCAGGTGCATCAGCCTGTAGACCTCCTGCGCCTCCACGGAGAACAGCAGCATGTGCTTCGGGTGGTAGTAGACCGTCTCAGTGCCTCCCTCATCCAAGCGGAGCGGGAGGGTGCGGTGGGTGTCCAGGCTCCGCGGGCACCCATCAAACTGGGTCCACTCATCCCCCCCGACCCGAATGGTGGAGTCCAGCCATGCCGCCAGCTCCGGGGGAAAGTGGCCTATCTCCTGCAGGACCTCGGGCTTCCACAGCTCCACCCAGCTTGCGGGGATGGGCGCCCTGATAGTGTAGCCGCCCGTCGGCAGCATGGGGGTGCGCACCCAGTCCGCCGCCATCCCTTCCGGGATCCAGCTGGCCACCCAGTCATAAGGGTCCTCGTCGGGGTCCTCCTCATACGCTCCTCTTGCGCTCCCGCCCGACTCCCCCGAATCGCCCTGGGCTTCTCCTCGCGCCGGTCCGGCAGGGCCGGGGACGACCGGCGCGCCCCCGAGGTCTGCGGGTGCCGGGGGTGGCTCCTCCGGGGGAGGCTCTTCCGCTTCCCGCGCGGGGTCGGGGCCCCCCTCCGCCCGTCGCTGCGCCGGGGCCACTCCGGGTCCCAGGGCCGCACGGAGGGCCCCCTCATGATCTCCTTCCTCGAGTAGCTTCTTCGCGGCCCCGGGCCTGTGGGATCGCTGTGTTATAACATCATGATGTTATGTTGCCAAAATCCGTGGTTACAAAATGATGGTTGCCAAAAAATGGCAACCAAAATGATCTGTGCGAAAAATGGCAACGCACGTCGCGCTTCAAGCCGCGACGACTAGATTCGAGCCGAAATGGCAAAGGGGAGCGAGGAGGAGGAGGAGGAAAAGGAGAAGGAGGAGGGGGAGGTGGAGGAGCGGGAGGCAGCGGCGGCGGCGAAGCGCGAAGTGTTTTTGTCCTGTGTGCGGAGACCTTCTAGGGAAGGTTGCTCAAGTTCGACAAGACGAACGGTAGTTACACATATGTACAATATTCGCCAACGAATAATGAAACCCAATCGGTATTTCGACGGGGGCGCAAGGTAATTGGGAATTCCATAGGTGAGGTGAACCAGTACACTAGTGATAAATACTGAGCGACGTGGGCAGGAATACCTTGTTCTCCTCCTCGTCCTCCTCCTCCTCTTGTTCATCCTTCGTTTCCTCCTCCTCCTCCTCCTCCCCCTCCTCCTCCTCCTCCCCCCCCTCCTCCTTCTCCTCCTCCTCCTCCTCCCCCCCCTTCTCTCTCCTCCCGTGTCCACTCTTCCTTTTTTCACCCCTGTATCTCGATCGGGGTTCTTTGGGCTCGTGGTAGAGAAAGCGATGGCATGAGTGATTTTATGGCGCTTCGGTCACCCGAACATGGCCAACAGGTCTTCATCCGTGGGCTCCGCGTTCCTATTCGCAGGGGGGTCTGGGATTTCAAAATAATACCCGCCCACGCCGTCAATCCAAGAGGGGCCGACGAGCCCGTGGGCAAGGCCAGAATCTTGGCCGAACTTGACACTAGTATACTTCCAATAGAGCTCAAACAGCTCATGCTCTCGCAAACGAGGCTGGGGAAAAATACTATACCCCAGCCAGTGCAACCAGCCAGCCGTGAGCGTGCCTCTCTCAGCCACCGCGCTCAGTTCTAGTCGACGGTACCAGTTGCAGCCTTTCTTGTACCCCTGAAGAGATGCTAAACATTTGAGCACATCGACGAGGACCTCAGAGCAGGAGGGATCAACAGGGTTCGGCGGGAAACGGGGGAGGATGATGAGGAGGAGGAGGAGGAAGAGGAAGAGAAAGGGAAAAAGGGAGGAGGAGGAGAAGATGAGGAGGAGGGCGGAGAGGGGGGGAGGAAGGAGGAGGAGGAGGAGGAGGAGGAGGAGGAGGAGGAGGGAGGACGTCGGCCTGAATCTCCGCCGCACTTAGCGCCATCCCCCCTCGTCCTGCTTATCCTTTTTCTCCATCTCGTTCATCGGGGGCGGTGATCCCTCTGCCCCAGGGTCGCTGTCGATAGGCGCGGCTGGTTTGCAGACCTGGGCCTCGTCGATTTCGGAGCTTGCTGCAGCCCTGCACGTGTTGGCCCAGCTCCTCAAACGATGGCACTCCCACTCGATCTTCGTCTGGGCAAGTTTTTTTATGGGTGGTCTGGGAGGGTTGGGGTAGGGGGTGGCGGGTGGTGGGTCCAGACCTTCCTTCCCCTCCTCCTCCTCCCTCGCTCCTGTAACCACCCCTCATCCTCCCTCTCACTCCTCCCCCTCACTCCCCCACCCCCCCCTCCCCCTGTCTGATGTCCTACCCCCTTCTCATCCTTCTGGCCTGCCCTCGCATTTCAACGCCCAGCTGGCCAATCGGCTGGCATCGTCACTAAAAAACCTGGGGGCAGGCCTGCCATCGCGAGATATACCGTGGCTGGTGGGGCACTGGCTGTCATCGTTGCTCGGAAATGGTGTTATCCCTTTCTGGGGCCGAAGTTGCCCTTAAAGGAAATCGGAGTTATCATTCTTCTTCTCCTTCTCCTCCTCCTCCTTCTCCTCCTCCTCCTCCTCTTCCCCCCTTCCGCCTCCCTCCTCATCCTCCCCCTTTTCCTCCTCTTCCGTTCCCTCCTCCTCCTCCTCCTCGTCCTCTTCGTCGCCGTCCTCCTCTTTCTCCTCACCTTCCTCCCTGCCCTCACTCTTGATGGCAACGGCGCCTGAGGGTCTCCCATTGTCCTTCATCCCTCAGGCCTCCTCCAAGACATCCAGGGTCCTTCATCCCTCAGGTCTCATCCAGGACATCCAAAGTTTCTCCAAGGGCCCAGGGTCTCCAGGGTCTCCAGGATGGATCCGCGCCCCGAGGTGGCATCGCAGCGGACCCTGGGTTCCCTGGAGAAGACCTGCCCTTGATCCTCCATCCTTCCATCCTTTTCCCAGTCTCTCGAGCTCAGCTGCCCTCGCAGGGCATCCGAAACCGCGTCTTGCACGCGGACCTCGCGGCCCTCGCGGGGCCAGACACCTATAAAGAGATGTCGAGCAGCTGGCCGAAGTTGCTGCGCAGGAAACGTACTTGTCGAGCAGCGGGCCGAAGTTGCTGCTCGCGAAATACAAACGAAGTTGCCGAGCAGCGGGCCGAAGTTGCTGCTCACGAAATAACGAAACTGTCGAGCAGCGGGCCGAAGTTGCTGCTCGCGAAATACACGCCTCCCCGCGTTCTTTTTGACGGGGGAAGGGGCAGCGGCCGGGGCGAACCAAGATCCTTGGAGGCCCCCCTGATCCTCGCCAGGACCAGGAGGCGTTGGGGCAGGAGGACCAGGGCCAGGAGGACCAGGGTCAGAATCAGGAAACTTGGATGCCCATGACCAGGAAGCTTGGAAGCTCAGGACCAGGAGGCTTGGAAGCAGGGGCTGGGGGCAGGAGCCCGTCCCTTCACACCTGAAATATCAGCGCATGCTGCCAGAATTGATCCAATTGTCCAAGGTGATGGACCGCGAGATCTTCTTAGTCCTTTCAAGGTCCAGATCTTCTCAGATCTTCTTAGTCCCTCCTCGCCCTCCTCTCCTCGGCACCCTCCCCATCCTCTCCTCCTCCTTCTCCTCCTC